AAGTGATGTGTATAGTTTGTCTCTATAATTCTCTGTCAGTGCAGTGGTTTGTGGGTGAGTTTGATAGCTGGTCTATCCATCGGGAGGGCGTGCGGCCTCTTGGTCTTTTTCCTGGAACCTTGCCCTGTATAATAAGTCTTTCCATACAATCAGTATCTCTCCTAATAACGTGATCGAAATATATAAGTATTCGTGATTGTATATGTTAAAAAATGTCTATACCTATGTGACGGATTCACCTCTCCAGAAAATTCCTATATGGGTGTTTCGCCACTGCAAGAAAATATATAAAATAAAATAGTTATTTTTTGTGATCCAACGGACACTATTTGTCAGCAGCGGTCTATCAATAAACAAATTTGCCTAACGGACAAAAAATGCTGCCGTTGACGTTCTCACAGATGTTGAGAGACGTTCCGTGATGTTGATTTCTTGGATTATGGATTCATTGGTTCATCGGGCAGTCCAGACAATTCTGAATATTCCTCGCCGGCAGTACATCGCAGCTGCGTCAATTTTTTTTATTACTGACTGTCTCATCGTCCAGGACTCGGAGCCATAAATTAGTATAGGAAATACTAGGCAGTGAACAAGTCTCCTTTTTCAGTGTTTTGATATGTATTTGTCTCGTCTGTCATATTTCGAAAAAAATTCTTTCCAGAAATCCCCAAAAAGTGGAAAAAGCCACTCACGAATAGTTGTTTTTTATTAAAATGTGATTAAACAAATACTTCAAACTTTCTGAGTTGCCTATAGAGGCTCTAAGAACAACTGTTAAAATCATTTTGTGGGTGGGAATGGGAATCCTCCAACGGTCTAAGTCACTCGAAAAAAATTCTTAGAACTTACGGTCGAGGAAAATTAAAGATTTTCCTTGATTTAAGTAAAGAAGAACAATCTTCGGATTGCCAAGGGGTTTCTAACAGGACACTGTCTCCTCAACGAACACCTCAGTAGATCGAAGCTGAGAAACAACGTCGAATTCAGATTCTGTGAGGAATATGGGGAAACACCAGAATACCTCGAGACGACAACAGTTGCCAAAAGATGTCAAAAACTTTGGTACGACTGACGTCAAAGATGGAGAGCTGGAAAGCAAAACATTATAGGTAGGAAGAATTCACCAAAATAAACTCCAAGAAAAAAACTGAAAAAAAAAATCTGAAACTTTAATAAAACGAGATAGAGCTATCATAAAACAACTGTAGCAAGAACTAAAAAAACGACGCGGTAGTAGCGGGAACTCCAAAAATGCATCCAAGACATTCGGAAACATTTTAATTCTCTTAGATATTAAAAAAGGATCCGTCAGTGCCGGGAAAATTCAGTCGGTTCGCTTTTAGTTTTAATTAAAAACAGAAAAGGAAACTCGCGCTCCGCGCCGAGAGAACTTTGGACTCTGCTCCCCCATTTATCCGGACGGAATATCCGGAATTTCCAGAGATAATTATAGTAAAACCGTCTGCCAAGAGCGGGATTAAACGTAATATTTTTTGAACTATTACACGAATTCGGTTGCTTTTTAATCTTTGGAAGAGATTTTAGTAAATTTATATCAATTAAACACTCAGATAAAATTATAGAAATTTTCGAAAAATTGTTTTAGATTAGATTCGATTTTTGAAATGGCTATTGGCCTATCCTACTGCGACCTTTTCCTCTTCTCTTTTCCTCGTCCCTTTTTTGCTACCAGAACTAATCTGGTAGTTAGTCTCTTGATAGATCTCCTCCGGCCTCTAACTGACATGAATGAGCTATGTGTGTCAATAGATTTTACACTCTTGTCATGGCACAACTGTAACACAGAGTTTATCCTATGCTTTTTAAAAAGTCTAAAGCTTCATTCAGAACCTCGCAATTAGTGGAATAAATTAGTGGTTTCAATTACACTTTATACTTTTTAGTTTACGATCATTCGCAATATTTAAAACACACAACTAAAATTAATAGAATATCCTAGCAACTGCTTGCGTTAGTCAGTTGTATTCATAGGGAAAGCCTATAGTCTGAGCTAGCAACGTTTTCGAGAAAGTATTTTAAGACGTCTGGCTCTTTGATATGTCTTTTACTATGCTCTCTGAAACGGCATGCTGTTCTAGAGAGCATAGTAAAAGATATATCAAAGAGCCAGACGTCTTAAAATACTTGTTTTTCCGACGTTGCTAACTCTCGTACTATAATATTTAGCTTATAAAACATCAACTTTTGATTTCTAACCACAATTTCTCTTGACGGAAAATAATCAAAGGCCAAACTGACTTTTATCGCAAATTTGGAAGTATAATTAGTGGAAAAATTAAAAGTTTGATTGCTTTTTCTACTAAATGAAAATATTTACCACTAATTTTGACGTTCTGAATGCTTACATTAAAATTAAAGAAACAAACTTCTACGCTAATTGAAACCACTAATTTATTCCACTAATTACCAGGATTATATGGATTTTGTAGGCATAACTTTAATTTGTAGACAGAAAGGTTTGATGCTGGTTTAATTTTTTTGATGACCTGCAAACTGAACTGACAGTAGTAGCCAAAGCAGATAAAAATAATGTTTCAAAAGATGACTTTATGACATTTATTAACAAGTTACAACCTGATGTGATTTGTATAAACCTCTCTACATTACTGTTAACTATGAATATGTAGATACGTTTTAGATATGTTTCGGATGGTAGGTACAATACAGGAAATCTAGCGGTAGGACTTCGGCAACCGGAAAAATTGATATTTCTGTTGAAATGAAAGAAGAAGATGAAACTAAATATCCGCAATCCCAACCATCCTCTCAGAAAAATCTCATAATATTTTTAATTTTTGTGCAAAGCGGATTTTTTTTCTTTGACTAGTGGCATATTTTGTTATAAAAAATATTAAATTTGCTCTAAAAATTCTCACGAAAAAATAAAAAACAGCAGAGTGAAGGGTTAGAAAAAATTCACAGCTTCTGGTTAAAAATTATTCTTTGTCCGGGCGCGGCTGCAAATTACACAACGGGCTCATAATAATTTCAAGCCCTATTCTACAGCGTCCGCAAACCACTTTTTACCCCCCTTTCCCCCTACTCGCCCCTCTTTCTCTCTGGCGGTCCATTTCACCGACGGCATAAAAATTAAAAAATTAAATATTCACGAGGCGCCAAATTAAATAATAACCGGGTGCCATATTGTTTATTGGCGCGGGCGTGTCGCCGATGCAATATGTTCGAGGGATGGGCAGAGGGGTGGTTATTTACATAAACGTCGATTCGGAAACAGTAAACAATTTAGCGCATTTAGTATCACTCGGGTGTAGTTAGTTTATTTATAAATTTATTGAAAATGTTTCCCTGGGATATTGATCGATGTGACCATAACATATTATATTCATCGTATAGCATCGTTTTGAATATACCTACTTACTTTACATGAGAATATATTTGGCTGATGCAAAAATATAAGGCGTTTTTGTGTACCAGCATATTTATGAAGTGTTATTTTTTACACAGAAACAGCACAAGAAAGGTGTAAGTCATTATTATTGTTACTTATCTTAAATAGGAATTATCGGAAACAAGAAATACTCATCTTATCCGATAGTCAAGCAGTGTTAAGAGCGATCAACTCAGTAACCATCAATTCGAAGTTGGTCAAAGAATGCATAGAGAAGCTGAACAAATTAGGCAAAGAAAAAAAAGTCCTCCTACTCGTCCTCCTGCTCCTCCTACTACCAACGAACCGTCACCTCAAGGAAAGCAATAGAAAGCCGTCTTTAGCATATTTATCTTGTACAACCTCTCAAATAGTGCCATTCGGATTCGGCAATAAACTGTAGGTCCTCTGTACTCACTGTGAAATACTGATGACACACATCACAAATACATGCGAGAGATAGCCGCCACTCTGTATAGAGGCACTGTACTGTAGAAGAAGAAGACAGACTATAAAAGACATATGACATTATACTTAATATTTTTCTTCTTTTTCACTGTGAGGACGGACAAAAATGGCGGTGTTTGGTATGTTAATAAATAAAAGTGCCGCTAATACGTTCGAGAAAAGGATGGTACGGCTGTGCTCGACTTGGCTTGGATATTAGTGCCAGTAAAAAAATAGCTCATCGCTCCTTTCAAATTTATGTAAACAAAGAAAGTCAAAATGTTGTCAGAAACTCAGAACATTCCAGAACCACACACATTCCTGTATACTTTCGCAGACTGGACTTACGCAAGTATACCGGAACGTGTGTGGAAAGACTTTTGCCCAAGAATCTATGTAAATTTTAGTCCAGTAAATGAAGGTTGAAACCACGGCCTAATGCGTCGACCAGGACTATTCAGGCGGATTGTGTACCTTTTGGGGAGTAGTTTTAGGGTTTAAAAAAATGTAACAACGTGCTTGGCCAGCTTTGCCCGAAAAAAATGGCCCCAAATGGCCGAAAATCAGTTTTTCGCAAATACCTGCCAAAATATGCAATTTACAAATTTTTTTTGGAATAAAAAATTAAGCTTAGGTAATTAATTACCTACAAAATTGGTCCTTATAATTTTTTAATAAATTTAATATTTTTTGATGATTCAAAGTTTATTTAAAAGGTAAAAAAAATTGGGGAATGGATATGGGAATCCTCCAACGGTCTAAGACACTCAAAAAAAACTTCAGTACTTATACGACCTAGAAAAATCAAAGATTTTCTTCGATTTAAGTAAGAACAATCTTCGGATCGCCACGGGGTTTCTAAAAGGACACTCTCTCTAAAAAAATTAAGCTTAGGTAATTACCTACAAAAATGGTCCTTATCATTTTTTACGTAGAATTAGTCGTTTTCGAGATATGACGCGTCAAACATCTCTGAACTTTCTCTCCAAGTCTTATCGGCTCCGGAGATAAATTTCATAAGCGTATCATTGATTGATCACTGAGATAGCCGCCGCTCTGTATAGAGGCACTGTACTGTAAAAGAAGAAGACATACTATAAAAGACATATGGCACTATACTTAATATTTTTTCTTTCTATTTCAGTGTGAGGACGGACAAAAATGGCGGTGCTTGGTGTCCTCAGCGTCAAGCTACCGCCGAGCCGGAAGAATGGATTCAGATCGACCTGAAGACGGTGCATGTCATCACTGCCACCGAAACGCAGGGTCGATTCGGCAACGGACAGGGCATAGAATACGCCGAAGCATACATGTTGGAGTATTATAGGCCCCGGCTGCAGAAGTGGATTCGGTATCACAACTTCAAAGGAGAAGAGGTACGTGGACTTTGATTTGTAGAAAATTTAATCCATGTTCATTATAATATAGTTTCATTAATAAAACTTTATATACACATTCCGCATTTGAACCTCCATATCGTTCGGTTTTGCCATTTCTCTTTAATAGCTCTATCTCTCATGTACTGGTGTACTCCATCTAACCACGTAGTTATAAGTCCTTTTTTCCTTCTACTTTGTGTCTACTCTACTTTTAGCCATCTTTCATTTCTCGTTTTGACGTATCCATAGTAACTATCTAGGAACCGTATTCATAAGGAAACCAAATGTAACCCAGGAAATTGTATCAAGAATAATGTCAGGTAATAGATGTGTAAACGCACTACAGAGAATTATTAACAGCAAGAATATCTCTAGAAGTATATACGACCATAGTAGTAGATGCATGTCAAACGTGGACATTCAATGCAACGGAAAATTCGAGACTAGAGATTTGAGAAAGTAAAATACTGAGGATGATTTTTGGAGGAAAGAAGATACACAACATGAGGACCGGAAGAACGAACGAAGAATTAAAGCAACAATATCGTGCACCAAGTATAACGGGAGATAAATTAAAAATTATATTAAAGGAAAAACAAAATGCTGATATTTTAGCGAAAGTTTGAAACATCGTTGTGCGGAAATCGTCTACAATATATGGAATTTAAAAACAACTTTATTACCAAAGTGCATCTTTCCTCGATAGTTTATTTGTTGATTCTTCCCAATAGCTTTTTTGTTGGAGGTATTCGCTTTTGAACAAATCAGTAACAATCTACAGAAATTTTAGCATTAAAAGCATGCTTTTCTTTTGGTCCTAATCCCAAGACACCGACGAAATAGTGTTTATAGTATTTGTAACGTTATTTTCATTGAAAAGTCATATTATTATTTTGTGTTGGCAGTTACTCCTTAGCATTTAGCTGTTTCTCAGTTAGCAGAGATGGTTGGATTTCGAATTTTATTTCTACCATCTTTTTTTTCAAATTTTGTGATGCAAAAATGCAATTCCTGCAATATTGAATATAAAATATATGATTGTTTTGATAGGTACATCTATTTATTCCTTTTCTTTTTTTAATTTTATTTCAATATTAATTCTTGAGGAAAAAGTACACGCACATTATATTGTTCTTTTGTTCTCTCTCTATATAATTACAAACAAATTTGAGGAAAAAATGCCAACAAAGAAGAATATTAACAGGACTTTAAGATTTTTTTTTTGCTTAATATTATTCTCAATTGCTTGCGGACAGGGAAAAATAACAGATTTATTTTAATAAAGAAAAAAATCTTCGTAATAACTCTTAATTAACTTCTCATAATTTTATATTTTCTTAATTGAATCTTAAATGGTCTGTCAGATTTAAAAATATAAGCCTCATTAAAAAATATTACTGGCAAAAAAAAATTAATTGATAACTTGGAAAAATATTATTTATATTAATTTTTGAAATTCTTGTATTTTTATAAAAATCTACATGACAGATGCAAATTTAAATTCCAAATAAGTTTTTTTTATATTTTTTGAAATCTTGTCATCTACAGTATTTTAACCATTTTAACCAGTTAGCGTAAACATAAATAAGCTACTTTATTTTTTTATTCTAATTTCTAATTTTAAAATGATAACTTTACAGAACTGCTATCTTTCTGTAATATTTCCTTTAAAGCTCATCTCAAATAGGCGATGACTGTAAGTCGTCTGACTAATAAAATAAAGCTAAAAAATGCGAAATATAAAGCTGGAAAAGCACCCACTAACAGGGTCCTAAATGTTTTAACGTCTTGGCGGTGTCTACGGTTTACATTGTCTCTTGCCAAATTGTTCATTTAATTACTGTTTTAGTGTCTATTAAGAAACTATTGTTTTTCTCGAGTGTTTTACGACTTTCTCGGTATAACTGCGGAATTTGCTCTCCGACTCTGCTGCTTTAAAGCTTGAACTTGGCAATGTGGCAATAAATAGAGTAACTTGGGAATTCTGTAGAGCCATATGTTACCTGCTAGCGAATTCTTAACAAAATATAGTCGGATTTAAATTGTGAGATACAAATATTCAAGATAGAATCTTAAATCTCTATTATTATTTTTTTAATTTTAAATTTTAGAGAGGGATCGATTTTAAATTAAATTCCAGGGAGATCGGGATCATTTAAAAAAATCCACTCACACTTTTTTGGGCCACCCTGTAGAAGTTTTGATTAAAAATAAGATAATCGTAATAATCCTGCAGCCCCGGATCCTGTACTGTTACTGTATTTATAAACATAAGGATATGTCTATAAAATCTAATTTATAAATTCTACTCTTCTTATAGTAATAATAAATCTAGTAAAGTGAATAGATCTAAGCGAAAACATCTAAAACTAATACTTAATATTTCAATATCTATCTAACTATAATAACGTTGAAAAATAAACTCTACTAATTTCCATCTATTTTATTCCCGTTTTTCTTTGACGGTAAAAATAAAGTTAGGGGAGAGAGGGCGAAAGAGGCCATCCTTTCTATCCGAAAAGCGTACAATGCGAATAAATCTTCATCAATTACAATTAGCAAAAACAAAAGAACCTATTTTTTGCGGGGGAAAAACCGAACATTCAATTACCAAAGAGATTTATCTCGACTTGAGAAGTGAGAGACTGGGAGCAAAAAATAGGAGAGCAGTCTGTAAGTAAATTCTCTTTACTGTTTTTCCTGAATCTGTGAACTGCCAGTGCAGGATCTTGATTTAGAGAAATCTAAATTGAAAAATCATATTTAAATATAACTTAATAAATAAAAGTTAAAAAACTACAGTAACAACTTCTTTTATATACAATGTTGTAGCCCAGTGTTCTGAACAAACTACAACCTCTTGAAACGTTAAGCATGATACAGGGTGTAGAAGTTACATTTTTATTTCGATTTTTTTCCAAAAAATTTATGAAGTAACCTCAATATTTGGATGAAAATTGGTGGCTGGGAGTTTTTTGACATGACAAATTTGATTTTGATGTCAATATGACTCCTATTTGTAGGGGGCACCACCTACATGTGTTTTAACTGTTTTGAAATGCAGTAACTTTTCGTCCGTAATTGTTAAAATCTACTGAGTAAAAAAATATACATTTCCGTGACTTTTTACGTAAAAAAATTCTCTTGATAAAAATCGCTACAACGAAGTTTTCAAGATATTTAGAATGGAAATAGTCAATACATGTCATTATTGACAAAAAATAAACCCGTTGAGTAGATAGTTATTTGACTGAAATAATAAATTTGGGAAATTTTTACTTTTTTAAATTAATCATAAATTTTTCTGCGAAAAAGTGATTATAAAACGATTTCTGTTGAATTTTTGGTACAAAAACATTTTAAATTTATTATTTCAGTCTAATAACTATTTATTGAACACGTTTAATTTGTCAATGATTACAGGTATTGATAATTTTGATTCCAAATATCTCGAGAACCATTACTCGTAGCGATTTTTACTACCTTACTTAACCTAACAGACCTTTTTTACGTAAAAAATGTCGTAACTGTATATTTTCTTTGTACAGGAACTGACGAAAAGTTATTACTCTTAAAACCAGTTAAAAAATATGTAGGTGGCGCCCTCTACAAGTAGGAGTCATATTGATATCAAAATCAAATTTCTCGGAATAGTTTCCGGTATACAATTCGGACCACCCTGTAGATCAAAATGCAGTTTACGTTTTAAATTACCTTTCGCGTGTCATAAAGTCCTAATAACTTGTATGGGAATGCGAATGATATACTATATGAATTTAATATTTCTACCGTACAATTTACAGCTATTCGACCACTGCCCGGCGTCACGACGTCCACGACGCCCTTCATCCACCGCGCTCCCACTTAAATACACACTTTTACACCCCTCGGACACGCACCACTTACCCCCTACCCTCCACATCCCCCCACATGCACATGGGGAGTCTATTCGAACGCATATGCATGGGGAACAGCAACACTGCGGGCTGCACTTATTAAGTCCCCTCCACAACAAAGCGAATTCCTAATTTCGCGCAATCACGCGAACTACCAAAGTCGACGTCTAGGCGCCACGTTGTTCCCCCCTCTCCCCTCCTACGTTTATTTTCTTTGACCCCCTCCTCGAAGAGGGTTCGTGTGTCCGAGAAGAAGGGAAAGGGAGTTTTCCTCGAAAAATAGGCGATATTTTTAAGTCTGACAGTGCCGGTATGGTGAAGGTTGTAATTACTGGGGAAAGTAGAAAGTAGGGATATCGATTTTGGTAGAATTTGAAGGTTATCGTTAGAGTGTAATATGAGTGTTTGGTGTTGTATGGTATAAAATATACTAAGGGCTGGCAAAGGTTAGTTCTGGGTCGAGATTTCCGTATGTAAGAAGAATACAATGCGTTTATAATGTACTGAACAAAGAGAGAACAGTAAAAACGTTGCCAAACGTATGAAATAAACCGAGAAACTGTTCGCATTGCCAAGAGACGTGGAAGAGGATATTATAGCAAATTCGTCGCGGTAGACCGATCGACCCAATCAGTACTTAAAATTCCAGGGAAGGTTTTACATCATGCATTGTGCATTCAGCTTCACGATTTAATTACGTCTCGTGATGCTTTATTTGTTTATTGATTAACAAGTCGTTGTAATTTTCCATATAGCTTGTAAATTTTTAAATGCAAGTTAGAAACGCTTGCACTTTTGGTAAAAATAAGTGGAATTGAATTGGTGTTCGACAGTGGTCGCGCTATTAGAACTCTGAATTCAAAAATCAATATCACCAAATCCATTAGAAATAATTGATTGTAAGTTTTTTCAAAAACTTTCTTAATATTTCTGCTGTATTTTCTTCGCAGATTCTATGTGAAAATCTTTATAAATAAGAAAGTTGCACGATTGCTGAAAATTACTATGAACTAAAAGTAAATGGATGGTTTTTTTAAAAATTTTAAATTGAAAAAAACAAGCCTATCGATTTTTTCTTATTTAAACATCTTGTAAAAGATC